GACGTTTGAAAAGCAAATGAAAAAATTGTAATCTCGTCGGCATCCGTAAAAAAAGTGTGAGACTATGGCCAATAAAATTCTCGGGATAAGACGCGAGATCGGTCAACAATTTTCGCGAAAAGATCAATGCAGATCGAACGCAAAGGCCGCGCGCGAAGATGCGGCCGCTGAAAGTGCGCTCGTTCAAATTCTCGGTATTAGACCTGAGATCGTACGACAATTTTCGCGAAAAAATCGAGGCAGGGTGAACGCCCTGCATTATATGTAGTAAAAAGAAACAAACACATCGTCTGTAATACTGACAGATCGACAGTATCAGACGCAGTATCCGACGCATTGTTCTTCAGTGTGCACACAAACACGCATATATATAAATATAAAAGTAAGATACATCTATATGTCGAAGGACTTATCTCGTACTTGGAGCACGTAAGGTAAGTAATAAATTGTTTCATAAATATTTATCAATTTTATATTGCAGTTCCCTGCACTTTATTGTATACAGTACGACAAAGCAGTAGTATCGATTTCGCATCATTGATAGTGTATGGCTTAAGTTAAAGCTGAATTTTCTAAATGCATTCTGTTTCTAAACTTTATCTGAGTAAAGATGCTGTGTAATAATTAGTAAATTATGAATTACATAAACATGATTTCTTCGTAAAAGTCATATAAATTGATTTTAGTGTTTTTCTATTACTACAAAATATATTATTCAGTATCATGTATTTAATAAAAAATAAAAATTCAGTTTAATAGTCCGTGGCTAAAACAATACATTTACGCTACTTAACGGCCAACACATTTTCTACATAATTTTTTTGTTTAATCATTAGAAGAAAAATTCAATTATGTCTCAAGATGACGCAAAGTTTTCTCCAGAATCGATCCACGAGAAAGAAGCAATCCATGAATTATATTCAAAAGGATATCTAAGGACAAATCCTTTTGATAATAGCAATAAAATGGTAACTGAAGATCAACATATAAACACTCCTGACGATTTCTTTGTGATGAGCTCGTTTGTGTCAAATGCACCAAATATCACTCGGTCTTTTCAGCGAGTTTCTGAGACTTATTCAGTCAAATACGACTGCGACAGTGAGAGAGCTTTATCGACTTCTATTCAAACTCCTAGTAAAAGACCACGAAAAGTAAGAATGATAAAAATGTTTTTCTTGAAAATAGAATAAATTATAAAATTTTTTACTGCATTTATTGTTTTAGGACCACAATAAATCGAAGGCATGATCGCAACGTGTTATTTCTACAAAAATAAAATCTTATAATTTCAAATATTTCAACCATTGTGACGAAAAATGTTTCATAAATGTTACGCCAGAAAAAATAAATAAATGCTAAATTTGTTTTCCTCATTTTATGTTTATATATTATTTATTGCCTCATTATTACACATTCTCACATCTACAAACATGTTAAGTATGAGATAAAAATAATATTTTCACTTAATCCTTTATAATAAATATTTTAAACATTTCGTATTCAGATTTTATTAATTTTTAAAATTGTTCTATCAATAAATTTGAAATTATCGTGTATACAGTATTTTGAATTCCGCGCGCGGCGGCCATATTGAATTCTGTCACGATCGGGCACGCTGCTCACGTGTCTCCGTGTTGCTTGCTCGAGCTATTCTGCCGCGATCTATTGCGCGTCGGCACGTCTGCTCACGCGCAGCAGTCTATCTCTCTCTCACGCGTACGCCGCCGCAAGTGCCGAAACGTCGTTGCCTGCTGCTGCCGCTGTTCTTCTCGACCTGTAAGTCGCGAAAACATACACGCACACACACATGCTCGCGCGACTTATTCTAAAATTCACGGCGCGACGCTTATGTGCCTTGTGCCCCGTCACAAAAGTCTGTGGGATAAAATAATAAAGTCTGTGTGAAAAATTAATAAGGTTTGCGTGATAAAACATAAAGTCTGTGTGAAAAATTAATAAGGTCTGCGTGACAAAATATTAAGTCTGCAGGATAAAATTAATAAGGTCTATGTTACTAAACATAAAGTCTGTGTGATAAAATAATAAAGTCTATGTGACAAATTGTTGGAGTTGATCGTTGATATCGGCGTGATAAGGACAGGATGGTTAAATGATTACACCTTAAGTTCACTTTGAACTGTGGCAAAACTTTATTACACACCACTGTGCACACTGCACCTCTCACACACAGAACAAAGAGAAAACAAACCAAAGGACAAAATGTCCGAACACAATAAACGAGAAATAAATTAAGAGAAAAAGCAAAGAAATATCTTTAACGTGAAAATTTGTGGGTCTCTTGTTGAGATCTGCGTAGCAGTAAGGATCGCTCACGAGTGAGGCTCGCTCGCACGTACGCGCATGGAAGGGGGAGAGAGAGTTGTGCGAAATGCCTCACGCGGTCGCCTCGTCCACTGCTGCCCCCATCACATACACGCACATACGGCTCGCACCCAAATCGTCGACTTATGCATCGACGACACAAATTAATAAGGTCTGCGTGACAAAACATAAAGTCTACGGGATAAAATTAATAAGGTCTGTGTGACAAAACATAAAGTCTGCGTGATAAAATAATAAGCCCTGTGTGACAAATTAATGAGGTCTGCGTGACAAAGCATAGAGTCTGTGTGATAAAATAATAAAGTCTGTGTGACAAATTGATAAGGTCTGCGTGACAAAACATTAAGTTTGCAGGATAAAATTAATAAGGTCTGTGTGACTAAACATAAAGTCTGTGTGATAAAATAATAAAGTCAATATGACAAATTAATAAGGTCTGCGTGACAAAACATAAAGTCTGCGTAATGAAACAATAAAGTCTGTGTGACACATTTATAAGGTCTGTGTGGCGAAACTGTAGTCTGTGTAGCGAAGCTGAGTTTCGTCTGATTTCATCAAGTAGTGAGTAAGATATGAGAGGTCAAGCGCCTGTATTTTGCGGTTATGAAATAAGATTTTCACTCATATCTCCATTATTTCGTCAAGATATCGAGCTGTTTGTGGAAAATATAGAAATTACGCACCAATACGAATCTTTTAAGCTTAATTTCATCCGATTTGGTCAAGTAGTTAGCGGGATATGACAAATAATGTTCATGAAAAGTTATTTTCCCTCATATCTCCCTAAATATTGACTATTTTAAGGTGAAATTGGCAAGTATCGGCGGTGCTTGAAGGCCGCTTTTTTTACCTTGTTTAGGGTCATTTCGACTTATACCTTCGTCAATTTTCAAGATAATGTTGGAAAATAGAGAGTTAGTATAAATCTTTCAAGCTGAGTTTCGTCTGATTTAATCAAGTAGTGAGTAAGATATAGGAGGTCAAGCGCCTCTATTTTGAGGTTATGAACTGTGAGATTCCTCGGTTGGTCCGAGTTCCTCTTTTCTGCTGGCGTCGAACAATTGACTCGAAAATCGAAAAGGAAGAGAAATGTCCGATAGTGGACTTATATTTACTTTAATATGTATATTTAATGCAGACTCTACTCCGCGCTCTGAAATGAGGAGAGGCTTGTCAATCATGAAAAAAATTATATATGCTATGATGTCGCTGGTATTTAATACGGCTTGTAAGTAATTGATCTTCTACGAGAGTCGCTCTAGAAATAAGCTGCTGACTCCTCGAAGAAGATTACTACCCGCTTTATGAATTGCGAGGCTTAGAGCGTTTATTAGTTGCAACGTGAACCGTTGCTTGGCAACTGTTGCCTGTTCCTCTTGGGGCCTCGTTTATATAGGCCGAAATTCGCGCCAAATACTCCTACCGGGTAACATTACACTATTGTTATTAACAATAGAGGGGTGATCAGCTGATCCACACTGATCAGCTGATCGTACAATTGGGTAGCGTCACATTGTCCCCTAATATTTTCTTTCCTTTTCTTTTCCAAATAATTACATTCTCTCTTTATCGAGACTACAGCACTAGAAAAATTCACAAGAGAAAAAAAAAATTTTAAAGAAAAGAAAATATTAAACCCCCAAGAAATATACAGAATCAAAATAAACTTTTTAGCAAAATGACTCTATACAATACCAAAAAAAAAAAGAAAAGAGAGAAAAAAAATTTATAATTAACAGCTAATCAATTAACGAATAATAATTAACAATAAACTTTAGATAAATTTAACTCAAATCTTTAAACGACGCATTTTGAATTTAAATAATAGTAATAATAATAATCTGTGCTGACTTATTGACACGTCTAACCAACGCCGCGCATCTCTATACCCAACTCACGCCTGTAAAATGAAAAATAAAAGTTTACAAAAGAAAGAAAAAAAACTTGCAACTTCATCTGCAGGATTCCTTCTCCTCACCACACTTCTATAAACTCCTGCGCGAGCTGCTGTCTGAACTTGGCAGACTTCACACCAATTCCTGGCTTGATGCGGTCCTCCGGCAAGCCGTAGGCCAATTCGTCGTCATCAGAAGACTCGATCGGGCTTGGGCATGTTTGTTGGAGCATCAGCGGGAACAACTCCGTCTTGACTTGAATCGCCACAGGCCTCTGCTCTGGCGGAGCTGTTTGGCAAGCTCTACCGCACGGCATTCTCTTGTTCCTACAACCCTTGGCAATGGATCGAGCCCTTGCTGTTGCAATGACACCTTGAGGTTCTCTCGGAACTTGCGGGATACTCCTTACGCACACTGCGTTTTGTGCCAGTTCGGGCAGGCCTTGGGCCTGAATCGCCACCTCGTGCGTCACCGTATTAGTTGCGATGCTCGGCATCTTGCTTTGACAATATTGATTACTCGATATCTACTGAGACTTGCTTCGCACTTTTCTCTGCTTATATAGGCCTCTCATTTGTTTGTGCCCTCTCCCTGTATCTTATCAGGTCGTTGACATGAAATTGCCCTTTCACTCTCTCCGGTGTATCCGTGAGAATATACGTGTTTTCGCTTCGCTTTTCTTTGACAAAAAATGGACCTTCACAAATCTGCATGAATTGAAGACTTTATTTTCCTGGTCGGATGTATTCTTGCACTTTATTAGTACTTTATCTCCGGTTGCAAATTCGTCACATTTTTTCTATTTATATTTGCTTTATCGGCTCGCCTTGATCGTTTGTTCTTGATCCGGTCGTAGGCTAATTCGTATTTTCTTTCAATATCCAATTTGTTATCTATCGGTGGAATATTTAATACTTTGTCCCATATGCGAGTCAGGACCAAGTTCAGATGCAGCTCTAGAGGAGTGAATTCGGTTGTCTCGTGGTGGGTTTCGTTCATTATGTCTTGGACAGTTTTAATGTATGGTTCCCAGCTTGTGTGCTTATTCTTTATAAACATTCTTAGAAAAGTTACAAGAGTTTTGTTAACTCTTTCGCAAATTCCATTTGACTCTGGATGCTTAATAGATGAAAAAGTTATCTTTATCCCCTCCTCAGACATTGCTTTTTTGAACTTGTCTGAGGTAAATTGGCTACCATGATCGCAGCACACAACCTAAGGTTTCCCATACTGCTGAAAATAATTATTTCTTAACATTTTTACGACGAACGACGTCGTCTGTTTCCGACACGGATATAAAACAACGAATTTTGAGAACGCGTCTATCGTAACCAATACATTCCTCATGCCAAATCTCGACGGAGTCAACGGCCCGAGGAAATCGATACATAACAGCTCGTTCGGTTTGTTTACAAGTATAATCTGCTGCTTGGCGAGGTTTGGACGAGTACAGTGTTTATTTAATTGGCACAAGTCACAGCTTGCCACAATCTGTGACAACCTGTGCTTTATGTTTTTAATGAAAAATCTTTCATTCAATAACTTTGTCAATTTTTTAGCGCCCAAGTGGCCATACGCTTCGTGCGTTTCTTTTATTAATCTTTCTAAACACGAATGCGGTACAACGATTCTACTTGAATCTAAGTGCCGTTTACATAACAATCCATTTATCAACAAAAATTTACTTTTTATCTTTGCATCATCGCTTTCTATTGAATCAATTAAGTATTTTAAACGTGTATCTATTCTCTGCTCATTTGCTAAAGTTCGTAATTTTAATAATAGTTCTTTCGAAAAATTTTGGATTTTAGTCAAGAATATCTCTAGCTCGCCTGGCTTATTGTAATCGCTCGGATTATATAGCGGTTGGCCGCTGAGCAAATCAGCTACTGTGTTATGTACTCCTTTAACGTGTTCAAATTTTAAATTAAAATCTTGGATGCTTAGGATCTATCTCTGAATCCTCTGACCAACAAATCTCGATTTAAACATAAAAATCAAAGCGTGGTGGTCAGTTCTTATATATACTTCAGCTGCTCGTACATAAGTATTTAACTTATGAAGAGACCACACAACCGCGAGTAACTCTTTCTCTGTTGTGTTATACGCCAACTCGGCGCCTTTAAGCGTTCTGCTTATAAAGGTAATTGGTCGCTCATTCTTTTCATCATCAACTTGTGATAATGTTGCACCCAGTGCATAATCTGATGCATCTGTCTGCAAGTAATAGGGTTTCGCTGGGTCAGGATATGCCAAGCATATTTCCTGTGCAAATAACTCTTTTATCTTTTCAAAACACCTATTTTCACTGTCCCCCCACCCCCATTTAGAAGACTTTTTTACTAGTTTTAAAAGTGGGAACAACAGTGAGGCGTGATTTTTTGCAAATTTACTATAGAAATTTATCACTATCATAAAGCTCTTTAATTGCTTAATATTCTTGGGAGGAGGAAACGATTTTATCAAATCGACTTTGTTCGACAGTCAACGTGAATCCAAGAAACTCTACTTCTTTTTTAAAGAATTCAGACTTTGCAAATTTTAACGTTATGTTATTTTCTTTTAATAACTTAAGTAATTTATCGAGATGAACCAAATGTTCTTGCTCGCTATTCGATATTATTAGCATATCATCCTCAAAATTTAACAGGTGACTTCCTGCCCCCTTTATCACTCCATCAAAGCCCCTGATAAGAGCGACACTGGCCACTTTGAGCCCGAACGGAACGACATTGAATTCATATACTTTGCCATCAAACATAAATGCACAATACTTTTTAGAGTCCTCCGCAAGCGCCACTTGGTAGAACGAACTAGTAAGGTCAAGACTTGACATTGTCGTAATACCATAGCACTGCTGCAGGATCTCCTCCACGCCGCATGGAGATACATAATCTTCCACGAGTTTTTCATTCAAACGTCGCGCGTCCATACATAACCGAATCGACTTATCCTTTTTTATCACGACGACCAGTGGTGAGACATAGCAACTCCTCGAACCCCGTATCACACCCCATTCCAATAACACGTTTAATTCATCGCGTACTTTTTCTTTATAATTTAAAGGTACTGGATATGGTTGTACAAAAAATGGCTTATTATCTTTTAGTTTTAATTCATATTCGAAATTTCTTAGCCGACCGGGCTTTTTATAAAACACATCACGGTTATTTAGAATTATCTCGCGTAGCTTCTTAGTCGTTTGCTCGTTTCTCACTTCGCAGATTGCCAATTTTTGTTCAATCTCCTGGAGTGAGATCTCATACGGATCACCGATATTCTTATCGTTCTGTAATAACGCACTCACCACCGGGATCGGTGCATCTATGTTCTCGACAAAAACGCCCGCACATATTGGTGTGATTCTTTCACAGTCATGTTCTATTATTCGAATATGCCTGTGATCGAGCCGACTCTCATCTACCTTTATTGAATTATATTTTAATGACTGATTACCGAAAACTATAGTATCATTTATTGTATTTATTATAAAGCCCAATTCTTTTATTATATCCATTCCAAAAATGCAATCTCTAATGAGTTTAGGTATCACGAGAAAGATAACGTCGCTATTTGTCTCTCCTACTTTTATCGCACACATGATCTGTTTATCAATCCGCGTGGACTTTAATCCTGTCGCGCCTTTTACTATTGTGCCTACGACGGGTAATATTGGAAACTCGCTGAATGTTGTTACATTATGCTTAAATAAATCTTCCGATACACATGTAACTTGACTCCCTGTGTATTAAAGCACTTATCGTTAATTCGCGTATGTGAATTGTTATTTCCGGACATTGTACATAAACACCACGCGCATTCTCCACATTCGGCTCTTTTATTTCTTTCGTCAAATTTCGCGGGTCAGCCAACACTGAGCAAACGGTCCCAGCTACATCACCAGCTACGGAGCTGGTGCTGCAGCTGGTCCTCGTTTTTTGGAGGCTCCTTATCGACTTTTTCTTTTACTGTTTTATTTTTCTCTACGCGTATTGCGAATACATCCACGCGTTTTTGCTGATATTTATTAAAGCCCGATTTCGACGCCTGCCACGGTTTATTATTATTTGCCGGCGCGCTTTGTTTACTATTGTGACGTCCTACACAGCTAGCCTACGTCTACTTTTTAAATAAGGCGGCAACGCACCGTCCCAATCATAACAGCTATGCCTGCGCCGGTACCGTTGTCTTACCATTCTTTACCATTCCTTACCATACTACATTATCATAATCTACCTTACCATAATTACCATCGGTTTTACTCTTTTACCAATAATATTAAAATTAATAATAATTACATAACAATAAAATTAAACAACGCTAAATAAAACAAGCTATCAGAAAATATAAAAATAAAACCACTAACATTTATATTAATAATTAAATTTGGAACTTAAATATCATCATGTGCATTCACATGGCGAACTTTTATTTTATTCAAATAATGAACAAAACAATTATAACACCTAGCGATGTTTTATTCGGATACTTGTATTTTTATGTTAAATTGGTACAGACTTTAAATCATAAGTTATAATATACATATTGAGTGTATTAATTATGCATGACTCGGCGTAACCTCGAAACTGCCGAGTCATCATACAACATGTGCCACTATTTCTATGAACAGTTACAACTATGTTACAGCCTAAAATATTAATTAAATCATTTTATTTCATTTAATTTATTCACATCAAAATACATTTAGAACACTTCTATCAAAAAAACATTATTGTAAACAGCACTTTATTTATTTATTGGATAACGTCACTTTTTACACAAGTCGTTCACTACTGCACTGTATAACATAAAACAATTGTAACACCATAGCACAATTTTGTATCATAATTTCAAGTTAATATTTTGCATTGTAATAGTTTTTAAGAAAAGTAAATAAAGTCGGTTTGCCACGAATGCTCGCCGAACGGTCCAACACGACGGTTGCTCGTCCCCACTTTTGGGCACACCGCACAAAGCGTATAAATACGGGCCACCTCGGAGGCAAGAATCAGTCTCAATACTCAGTCAAACCAAGGCAGACTAACGAGCAGCATAGGTCCTCAGTACCAATGGTCTCACTGCCTAGTTTTGAGTAAAGTTTGCTAGATTTAGTTACTTACTTGATCTAGTTACTAAAGTAACTTACACAGACTCGTTTGACTCGGGCGTTGCGTAGGCTGCTGAGATTTGAACATTATTTAAAGCCTATACAATCATTTTTACCCGAGTTATCCTAAATTTACTAACTACTATTCACTGCTTTCGTTCGTTGCAAAGGTCTTTCAGTACTATTGCAATAGAACACATTTGTTACAAAGTTCCTTCAGCACTTTTGTAATAAAATATTGTGAAGGTCCTTCAGTACCATTACAACAAAATCTTTTTCTACTTGTTACAAAGGTCCTTCGGCACTTTTGTAACAAGATCTATAAAATATTGTAGAGGTCCCTCAGTACTTCTACAATAAAATCTACTTTCAACAAATTGCCAAGGTCCCTCAGCACTTTCGCAATAAATTCTTTTCCTTATCGTAAAGGTCCTTCAGCACTTTTGTAATAAATGGTTTCGCATTTAACTTAATCTTTCTCCGAACAATTGAACTCTGAGCTATTGGGGTAAAACCTAGGTTCAGAAGGCGTATCAATCATTTAAATTGGACCTAAGGTCAAATTTTGGAGGCTCCGGGGAGATGCTAATTGTTTAGGGAGGATTACGTTAAGTGTTCGAAATTCATTTTTTTTTTATATTTTTTTTTGGGCGGCAAAAGTTGCCAATTTTTTTTTTAAAATCACTTTAGATTTTTTTTGTTTGTATAAAACTTTTTTTTTTTGGAACAAGAGTTTAAGATCAAGTTTTCCGCAGTTATATAAACAATTTTTAGGAACAAAGTATTCCACGTTTATATAAAATTTTTTGGAACAAGAGTTTAAAATCAAGTTTTCCGCAGTTATATAAACAATTTTTAGGAACAAAGTATTCCGCGTTTATATAAATTTTTTTTGGAACAAGAGTTTTAAAATCAAGTTTTCCGCAGTTATATAAACAATTTTTAGGAACAAAGTATTCCGCGTTTATATAAATTTTTTTTGGAACAAAAGTTTTAAAATCAAGTTTTCCGCAGTTATATAAACAATTTTTAGGAACAGAGTATTCCGCGTTTAAATAAACAATTTTTTTTAGGAACAAGGGCGTAAAGCCATATTCCGCGTTTTAATAAAACTTTTTAGGAACAGGAGTTTCAAGACCGAGTATTCCGCGTTTACAATTAAGAAACGACGACTATCACGTTAAGTGTTTCGAGCGACGACTTTAAGTCTAGTATTTACTCAATAAAGAACGGCGATTGTCACGTTACAACTTTCTTCTTTTTTTTTTCTTTTACGAAGACCTTTAAGGACCAGTTGGAACAACGATTGTTGCGTTAAATTTTCCATACACCTATCGTCCGATTCGGGTATTCACATTTTGACGACGACTGCTCGCGTTACAACTTTCTTCTTTTTTTTTTCTCTTTTACGAAAACTTTTAAGGCTCAGTTTGAACAGCGATTGTCGCGTTAAATTTTCCATACACCGATCGTTCTGTACCTTTATCACTTTTCTTTTTATTTTCTGAAAAATTTATATACTAAAAATTTTCTGTACCTTTATCACTTCTTATAACACAGGGTACACAATTATGGGAAATTGACGATTGCAGATAATAGTACGCTATCACTTCGGGTTTGTTGTTAATTGTAGCTACATTTAACCAAATAACTTTTCTGGAGTAACCATCTACGCAACCATGTATGGCAAAACCAAATTTTTTTAATTTGTCGTGACCATCCACGTGCCACAAATGATTGGGCCCGGACAATGAATATTGTCGACGCTTTAGTCGGTACCTGGAGCGAGCTTCTATTCCTTCTGGGTCGATGATTCTTAAATATTTGAGAATAGTATCTCTCTTCATTGTTAATTTACATTCTGTTTTTAGTCGTTGCCACAAAGATCTATATCCTAAATTAAAACCGGAAGTGCTATGAATTTCAATGAGAGCTTTTACGATAAGTTCAGTTTCACTCTCCACAATATTTTTTCTTCTAACTCCTAGTCCTTTTAAAATTCTTTTCAATGAACGCTCCGATATATGATAATTATGTTTAACTGCTAGCAAATGACGAATTTCCTTGTATGTATATAAACTTTGGAAATAGTTCATTATTAATTGATCACGACTTTCATCCGTTATTTTTCGAGTTTTATATAATACATTGTATTCTAGTACATCGTGACGTAACTGAAATTGATCATTAATAATCGGCACGCAAATTTTTGGATTACCGCCAAATACTAGACCACGAGCACCAGAAAAATAAAATTGAAAGGTCTCAAAGTTTAAATAATTATTCTCCAGTTTAAAGAAAACACTATTGGCTTCATCGGATACTTGAATTTCCATCTTGACTTCGACACTAAACGTTAGAGCAACTTAATAATCAGAGATTCGACACGTAATAATCAAAGTCAACAGTTCCGAGTCTTGAAACAAATAAACAGAAAGGATAACGCGCGCGCGCACTGCGCGCGAGCGCCGCAAGCGATCGCGGCGCTCACCCTCTGCGCGTGGCGACGAATGGCACTTACAAGCTTCCGTACTCACAGGCTTCCGTACTCAGACAGATGTTGGGAAACGTGCACGCGGAGGCGCAGAGCTCCGTCAATTCTTCAAGATATTGAGCAATTTGTGGAAAATATAGAACGTCCGCATCATTACGAATCTTTTAAGCTCAATTTCATCCGATTTGGTCAAGTAGTTAGCGAGATATGACAAATAATGTTCATGAAAAGTTATTTTCCCTCATATCTCCCTAAATATTGACTATTTTAAGGTGAAATTGGCAAGTATCGGCGGTGCTTGAAGGCCGCTTTTTCGACCTCGTTTAAGGTCATTTCGACTGATATCTCCGTCAATTTTCAAGATATCGTTGGGAAAAATAGAAAGTCAGTATGGATCTTTTAAGCTCAGTTTCGTCTGATTTCATCAAGTAGTAAGTAAGATATAAGAGGTCAAGAGCCTCTATTTTGAGGTTATGAAACAAGATTTTCACTCATATCTCCACCAATTCGTCAAGATATCGAGCTGCTTGTGGAAAATATAGAAAGTACGCAACGATACGAATCTTTAAAGCTTAATTTCATCCGATTTGGTCAAACAGTTAGCGAGATATTACAAATAATGTACATGAAAAGTTATTTTCCCTCATATCTCCGTCAATAATGACTATTTTGAGGTGAAATTGGTGTAACGTCCCGTGGTTCAAAGCCTACACTAAGGCAGCCTTCCAGACTCACGCGCCGACTATCAAGTCAGCCTGCACTACGACGACCCGGCAACGCCGCGCGTCGACTATCGAGTTAGCCTGCGCTACGGCAGCCCGCCAGCCGTACGGTCCGACCGCGCGCTCTTGCCGACAAGTTAATTTGTCGAAATATTTAGAAAAACTTAATTTTACTCAAAATATTACTCGCTTCTTCCTTTTTACTTGTACATAGCTGTAACTTGTAGTTGAACCATGTTATTCATGCGCCGAGCGACCGTTATGTTTATATTTTGGGAGTTTTATTGCTTCTCACACATTTCACCGGCCATGTGTTTAGCAATAAAACCAGAGTTATACATAGAACAATCTCGATCTTTTTTACATGTAGTTCTGATGAATAATGTTTAAAGCTATATTGCTTGAACAAACTATACCACGATGTAGCTATAATTACACAGCCCTCCAAAAAAAAAAGAATTTTCAACTCCACCGACCGGACCTAGTGGACTTTATGTTTTTGGGGTCGCTGAATCCGAATCCGGAGTCAGTTTTTCAAGGTTGGCTTATTTTAGATGTCATTTAAAGGTCAAATAGTAAGAAAAAGGTAAAAAAATCTGAAAAAATTCATACCTGGGTTTGTGAAGGTGCTGAATCCAAATCCGAGGTCAGATAACCTTCAGGAGGTCCCTTTCAACGAAATGGAAGGCGGTCAGTACTTGGCTCGGACCATCTCGTGAGCCCGCTTGCTCTCCGTCATCTTGGATTCTTGGCTTAGAATATAATGTCCTCGATCTGATGGATTAGGTTGATTTGCTTCAATTATCGATATTGAATCACCGTTTTTATCACTATCACAATATGCCTCAAAATTATTAGTAACTTCACCTTGAAGAAGAGATTTAGTTGTGCTAGTATTAATACTGTCAGTGAGACTGACTTCAGTGGTAGTATCATCTTTTTCTTTTGCTCTGTTCGCCCACTTCACGGTGGGCCTGAAGCCGCGATAGGTTTCATCAAAATGGCCACCAAAACTGATTGCACCACTGTTTAGTCGGTCAATTACAGATGAAAACCCCGTTCGAACCAAAATCCTAGCTGATCCTGTTCAAAAGTTATACGTATTTTTCTATTTTTATCCAAAAACCTTTATTTATACTCCTGACGCTGGCTCGGTTTTCGTAAAAATTTCCGACTCCACGGCGTTTTTACACGTTATCAGACGTATTATGATGCGCTGAATCGATTTTTCGAGGTTGATTTTCTCGAATCAGGTGCATTTACAAGTTATAAACAAATTAATTGTTTAAACGGCCATATCTTGTAAAATATTGAAGATAGATTAAAACAATTGTTTTTTATTTTATTTGTCTTTAAAAGACGAAGAATTTCCATTAAGTTAATTGAAAATCCGTCCAGTAGAAAAAAAGTTATGCAATATTTAGTGCAAAATTACTAGAAATACGTCCTTTTTTATCTTTCAACCCCCGTAACTTGGCTCGTATAAGTGCGATCGAGCTCATCGACGTCTCATTTTAAAGGTAATAACCTACACAACAATTCTGTATAGCTTTTATCCCAGTATGATTGTTTATAAAGCAATTATTAGCTGTTCTGACTGTCACGTACTTTTCATTTGTTTATACGCGTTTTTCGATGGGATAAATTATTATAATAACGTAGCAACTTAATACAAATGAAAGTACGTCAAAAACGAAAATTTTAAGACGTTCCAAAAGGTAATCGATCAAGTAGACGCCAATTGTTTTAATCTATCTTCAATATTTTACAAGATATGGCCGTTTAAACAATTAATTTGTTTATAACTTTTAAACGCGCCTGATTCGAGAAAATCAACCTCGAAAAATCGATTCAGCGCATCAAAATACGTCTAATAACGTGTAAAAACGCCGTGACTATAGGCGCGTACGTATATGTTGGGTCACTGACGTACTGTGACTGCGTCGCTACATATTACTCCCCCTCAGTGTTTTGCAAGGGAGCGTGGAAACACGGATAAAAAAAACATATGTAGGACGCACTTAATAAATACATGATTGCTACGCAACATAGACGAAATATACATCATTTTCTCTTTTTTGAAATTTACATAACATGTGTAAACATACTATTCTTCTTGTATCGCTTATAATATATTACATATAATAATTTCATTAATAAATTACAGCATTTATATTTCGTACTGGATGCTTTCTTGTAAAAAATATAAAAATTATAAGTTTTATTCATTTACCATCCTTTAACGTAGAATACTTTCTCGACGATTACTTAGTTAATTACATAATAAATGTTTGAACTGAATAATGGTAAAATACCATATTTTAATTGCTGAATGCAATTATTTGTTTTGTCGTACTTTTCGAAACGTAGTTAGTGGTCAGGCTTACTGTATCTTGGAGTACGCTCACAGTGCAACTGTCTATTTTCGCTTGTAACATAAGTGTAATCAAAGTTTTATGTACTTTATAAGGAAGTAGTGCAGCACAGGGTCTGGCGGTACTCCTTCCTTTGTATTATATCCTAAAATTCCTTCCGCCCGAGAGAAAGATCTGAAATAAGCGAGCCTCATGGTAATGCGGATCAGCGCCAATTTGCGATAAGCGCCGAATTTACAGAGAGAGGCGCGATCAACGCTGCGTGCGTGTACGGTAGACCGGGTCGTTTTTGAAAAAATTTTTTGTATCACCTGGGCTCATGGCTGAGCTGAAAGTTCAAGGTTTCAGATGAAAAAAGCCGGGCTGCAGAAGTCAAAAAAGTGACCGGAACCGGTGTCGATAGGCTTTTGAAGTTTAAAAACGTGCTTCGGAAATTTAGCAAAATCGCTCTGAAAATGGCAATCATACAATAGATTGCTAACATTGCTCAGAAGGTAAAATTTATATCGACAAGACGTTTTCTTGCGTATTTTTGTGTGTAGAATCGAATTCCGTAGTCAGTTTTGACCTAGGAGGACGATTTCATTGAAAAAAATGCCCTTTTTCGATATTTTTATTCTGCGTAAAAAACAAAAAATCGTCTTGTAAACGTTTAAAAATGAACAGAAAAAATTTAGAAAATTTTTTGACACTGCTAAAGTTTAGGATTTTTCATGACGAATCCAATGGTATAAATTAGTATATACTTTGAAATTATTTTAATGCAGAAAAATACATCTTTATCCCAAAAAACGACATTACGAAAAATTGAAAAATCGAAAAGTGTATTAGTTTCTTCCAAGAAATGGCTAAGTAGAATCAACTATGGAAAAAATTGCATGAAACTATCTGATAGGTTTTTTTCTTACCTTTCCAACGCCGGTTTCAGAAGTTAAAAATTCGCAAGATTCGCTGAGATACAGCTATTTTTGTACGATACATTTTTTAAGCTTAAAATTCAATAATTCTGAGCCAGCTCTATTCATTAAAAAACTAGCGAAGTAGAATTTAAGCTTAAAAAATGTATCGTACAAAAATAGCTGTATCTCAGCGAATCTTGCGAATTTTTAACTTCTGAAACCGGCGTTGGAAAGGTAAGAAAAAAACCTATCAGATAGTTTCATGCAATTTTTTCCATAGTTGATTCTACTTAGCCATTTCTTGGAAGAAACTAATACACTTTTCGATTTTTCAATTTTTCGTAATGTCGTTTTTTGGGATAAAGATGTATTTTTCTGCATTAAAATAATTTCAAAGTATATACTAATTTATACCATTGGATTCGTCATGAAAAATCCTAAACTTTAGCAGTGTCAAAAAATTTTCTAAATTTTTTCTGTTCATTTTTAAACGTTTACAAGACGATTTTTTGTTTTTTACGCAGAATAAAAATATCGAAAAAGGGCATTTTTTTCAATGAAATCGTCCTCCTAGGTCAAAACTGACTACGGAATTCGATTCTACACACAAAAATACGCAAGAAAACGTCTTGTCGATATAAATTTTACCTTCTGAGCAATGTTAGCAATCTATTGTATGATTGCCATTTTCAGAGCGATTTTGCTAAATTTCCGAAGCACGTTTTTAAACTTCAAAAGCCTATCGACACCGGTTCCGGTCACTTTTTTGACTTCTGCAGCCCGGCTTTTTTCATCTGAAACCTTGAACTTTCAGCTCAGCCATGAGCCCAGGTGATACAAAAAATT